GTTTAGGGTTTACCCATAGGCCCCACAGTAGTTCCTTTTTGGGGTTACCTTATAGGATTCGATGTATGAACCCCGAAAATGAACTACTTTAGGGCCAGCAACTCGTAGTAGTAGAGTTCAGGGACACCAAAATGACATGAGCATAAGCATTTCATAGGGACATCCCTACCTTATTGAGCTTAACTACAAGGGGGTTTCTATGGGACATCCCTATCCTAATTGTTGCTTATGTGTTTTTTGGGGGGCCCTATGTAACCTTGTCTGGTGTCTTATCATCCCTGCATACTCCCAAGGGTTAACCTTTAGTTCCCGATGATACTGAATAACTAACCCTAATTGTAGAAGCCTTAAAGCTCAATGTCGGTATCCCTTGGGGTCAAACCCTAAACTTGCGATTCCTGATTTTCGATCCAGGATACCGTACCCCAAAACTTGAAACCTCAACCCAACACCCTGAACCCTAAACCCTGCACGCTCAGACTCTAAACCCGGAACCCTAAACCCTGAACCCTAAAACCCTCAACCGATACCCAAAGAAGTGCAACAAGCCGACAGGCTCAACATCTCCAGTGGAAGGGGCTTCGAGGCAAGGCTTTGGGCGCCCAGAAATCAATAGGGTTTTGGGTTTAGGGTTTAGGCTGTTGGGTTATGAGTACCTTAATTGGGCTATAGTTACTAAGTCGCGGGATCTTTTCAGTAAACCCGTAAGCCCTAGAGGCCCTAAACATAAACCCCCAGACCCCTAAACCCCTAAAGGTAAATCCTAAACGGGTGCAATACTTCGGTTGTGTTTAATTAATGTGTTTTCATTGGCCAGGTAGGCATCGGAAGTTGATGGCAAGATGCACTCACCATCTGAGCTTGCAGCAATACAGTACCAACTAGACTCTAGACCATATGCTGTATGTAGTACCTTTTTGAGTCAGGGTACCATTACAGGTAACTATAGAGTAGATTGTCGAAAGCTACGTGCTACGTTGAAGCGTCTTGGCATATCATGGCATCCTGGGCAGCTGTAGAGCAGTAGATGGGACCCATTGCAAGTTCTTGGGCCGTGCCTGCGATGTGGGAGTTTCCGAAAATAAGGGGTACCGTATTTTGCGGTCCTTATAATAAGGATCCCACTATTTAGGTATTATATTAGGGTCCCCTATTTTCGGAAACCCCCATGTGGTGTGAATATCTAGCTGAGGACCATGGAACCATGACCAGGAGAGCTACAGTAAACGTTATTGGTAAGTTGCATCAAGCTACCCCGGCGGCCTGAATAACTAGCAAGATATGGGTTTAGGGTTTAGGGTTTAGGGTTTAGGGTTTAGGGCAAGATATGGGAAGGAATTCCTAATAGAGACCCTGCATTAGAGAATCCTTAGCCCGACACTGTATAAGACCCCTAATACGCCCCAACTTTCTAATCATTCTAAACCCTATATATATATATATGTATGTACTTCGGACCCTTCGAACTTGTTAAGGCCTCGCCTGAACTTTCGCGCCCCGGCCGTGCTGCACCCCCCACCCGCAAAGCCCAATACTCAATGCCCCTTACCTGAAGAATATACCGTACCCGTAATTCTAAGCCTCCTATAACAAGATGCACCCCTTAATCAAGGACCGGGTGCAACCTTATTGAAATATTCCCCAATCCTATTCCCCAAGCCCTAAACGTTCAAAAGGTTTCCTTTATTAAAGATATAGGGCACCGCGGCAAAATGCCCTGGGGTTTAGGTGTTATTTAGGGTGCAAATGTTTCAGCAAAGATGGCTTGTCTTTATGGGTCCATTTACGACTTCGACGTCAAGCTAAGGCAGTTCCTTTGTAGGTCCTATTGTAGGTTCTTTATGGCCGAGGAAGACACTACACCAAGCCTGAAAACTCGTCCAAACCCTCAAGAAACCTTACCGGCCTCATAAAACCCCTATGAGTCCCGACAACTCCTATATTGCAGGGGCCTTAATTATTAGAATAGGGTTTGGGGTATAGTATACTATCATTATGATAAGGAAGCCCCAAGAAGCCTATTCTAATTATTAAGGCCCCTACCTTACAACTCCACGGGCCATTTTTTGGTTCCTGCAACCAAGCTAGCCTAGGCTCCACATAGATCGAGCATATGTGCAGATGCAGCCTCGCAGGACGATGCTGCCTTCGTCGCCTTGTGCCGTGACCCGTCCTCATAGCATGCAAAGGAGATTGAGGGTTTAGGCTATGGAGTTAGGGTTCTGGTTAGGGTTCAGGGCTTGGCCGTAAACCCCAAATCCTAAACCCGTAGCCCCTAAACCCCT